ATGGTCAGAGTCATTTTAAGTTTAAGATGGAATCTGAAAAATTCAACATTTCGGTTTTGAATACGTGTTGTTTTGGCCAGTTTAAGTCTTTTAAATATTTAACTTTGACGGTCAAGGTCATTTAAAGGTCAGAGTCATATCTGAATTAATTATCATGTTGGTTTGGTCATAGTATGAATAAAATATGTTAGGAATGTTTAAATTAATTAACAATTAATTATTCGTATTCATTGTCAAGGTGATTTTTATTAAAATGTCATATTTGAGTTTTTTTCCATTATGTTGGTTAAGTCACTACAATGCCTTGTCATGATCATTAGGTATTTTAAGTTTCATGTTGATACATTGTATTTTATAGTTTGAAATCATACTATCAAAAAGGCAATTCTGAATAAGATTCTTAGTAAAAAAGGGAGATTACTTTAGAAATATAGCCTTCAGAATTTACGACCCTTGTCTTACAGCTGCCTCTTGTCATGTTAAGCAAGCATTTTCATTGGACGGACTGACTGACTGCCTTACGGACAGACAAACAGACGGACGGACGGACTAAAGTAAAACTATAGTCCCCTCCGGTTAAACCATTACTCACCAGATTAAAATGACTTACAGTTGGATAAATATTTGAAGCAATATTATACTTCTGATAGCATCAGTGCGAATTATTTGATAAAGCATATGAGAATTTTTGACGTGTTATTAACATTAAATAGAGCGACACAGATTTAAAGATTAAGAATTCACATGTATTGAAATTTATTTCACTACTAGCAATGTGCTTCATGAAACACAACATGCAATTGCAACGTTTGTGGATGTACAGTATTTCGTCATTTTGCCTTAGGCATATTGAAAGAAAATTGAAAGTCGAGTTTAGGAATATGTTTATTGAAAAGACAATCTATACCGAAATGAAACAAATCTGAAATCCGAGTCAATTTCTATCAATATATATTTAACGTACATTAAAACAAAAAAAGTATTGTAGTATGAAATATACATTACAAAAATCGGCTTTTATCTTAGTACCTATCCAATAAACAATGATGTCAGTAACAATATGTACTTGTACTTTTTTAATTGATAATGTTATAGGCTCGTCTATTATGCATTTAAGATTAGTATAAAAAGATAAAAAAAACAACACAATTTATTAAAACATGTTTCACTCAAACAAGCCTCTTCCTAAGTTGATCTGATAAAAAAACATAAAGGAAATGACGGAAACGTATTAAACCGACGCCTACTTTCAAAGACGCCACATCTGGCTCGTAAAAGAAACATTATATAAAAATGTAACTATTACTGTTTAATACAATAAAATATACATATGCATTAAATAATGATTTCTTACATGTTTATAAAGATAGATAACAACTTGTAAATATTTGATGGTGAAAATACTTAACAAAACCACGGGTTTTTTCATTTCTTTTCTCTGCGCTCTGATATCATTATATTGAAAACAAAGCGTTAATTCAGTAATCAATGATTAGAAAATATTCATACTAGCATACAACTAAAATAAAAAGTGACACAAAATAAATGTAATGCAAACATGGTACCCAACATATAAATAATATACATTTTGCACACTCGTATACCGTAATTTTTTGTCTTCTTGAAAACATGCTTGATAACTTTTTCCCAGATTCAAAATTTAAACTAAGTTTTGATGCAAAAAAGTACATCAACATCGAACTTCAAATATTGTTCATTAAGTACATAGCAATGTTCATAAAACTTATTTATAGTTTAACTTAGTTGTTATGATATAGTAGAAATCCGGTTTAAGGAAGACCAGTCTTCCATGTATTTGCGAGGTTGGCATATGCAGCGTGTCGCTAATGTTTAGTTCAATTACAAAAGACTGGGATATAGAAGAATGGCCATTGTCGGTAGCGTCGTCAGTTGGATCAACCTTTATCATTATAAGAGACTGTCTATTTTTGAAGAGTGTACAATAAACTTGATCTAATCTTGATATGATACCCTTTTCTTTACTAATGTTGAAGAAAAGTGGTACACACCATGTAATCTACATGAGTAAGTCCCAGTTGAGATATTGAAATCATTACCAACCTTTATCATTATAAGAGACTGTCTATTTTTGAAGAGTGTACAATAAACTTGATCTAATCTTGATATGATACCCTTTTCTTTACTAATGTTGTAGAAAAGTGGTACACACCATGTAATCTACATGAGTAAGTCCCAGTTGAGATATTGAAATCATTACCATACTGGTAAATGGTACTGGAAAAGTTTAGTTTTGTGGAGGTTCCTTCGATTCTTCTATAGGTGTGTCGACTTTTAACAGAAAATGCAGAAATATATAATAAACATACAGTGTTGGCAATATTGACTTGTTGAAACAAACTTTACATTAAATATAATACACAGAGTATAAAGAAAAGACTGTTAAAGTGAACTCTACTAATATAATGAAACATAACAAGAGATGGTCATAAAGGTTACATATAAATGGTGCACACTGATATAAGAAGAAATAGATTACATTTATGATTACTTATGAACAAAAGATTTTGTCAGTAAACATTAAACTTAAAAAGACACCAAACACCTTTGAAAAATAAGTGTATACCTGTCTACAAAACTGTGAAAAACTTCAAAGCCATTAATTGGAAATCGCTTTTAAATTGGTGTAAAGTCCCAATTTATTAAAACTGTTCAATATGTAATCTATAATAACTTACTTGGGAAGTTTTCATTTGAGCATTGACGACTCTGTATACTCTCTCCTAAACAGTCCTTTCCTTTATGCTCGGGCATTGGATTCGTACATCTCCTTGTCCGTAGTTGCCTTCCGATTCCATATGCAACGTCACATGATGTCCAACTTGACCAATTTGTCCATTGACCATCGACTTGAAGTAATGAAAATGTTTGATGCAAATTCATACTCTTTACAAGTTTTGCGTCATATTTATTTTGAACTTATTTAACTTATTCAATTTTCTGTAAAATACAATAAAAATATAGGAAAACTGTTTGGTTCCTGTTTTATTTCAATTCAAACAGCTAGTGAAACATAAATGAACTAAGATGCAAATTGATATGAGTCGTGTCGTTATTGAATAAAACGTGCTTGCAAAGGCAGATCTATTAAAATCTTATATACTTATAATGAGAATTGCCCATTCAAAATGCACATTTGCAAGTTTAAAATGGCCATAATGAAATGCACAATTTTATTTTTGTAGTATTTGATAATTATTATTTCTTTTAACTTCACTCATATTTGTTGAGTTTTATGTACATCTAACAAACTAGTTGCAGAAAGAGACTGAAGATAGACATTTTTTCTTAAACCATGTTACCAGATTCGGTTAATCAGCTTCATTTCGATATTGATTACATTCATTACAATTTTCTTTCTAATTAAAACTTTGACAAAGCAGTTTTGATATATGGTTCCGAGGGTAAGTACGGACGGACAACGCAATTTCAATATCCCTTTTCATAGGTTAATAACTACTTTTCATCATTTCCCTCAATGAAATGTTTTTTCCCCATTAAAAAAGACGGGTTTTATTTCATCATAAATTTCAAAAGAACATTTAATTTTTATAATCTTTCTTTGTAATGAATACAAACATTTCTTAACATAGAGACTTACAAGTATGGTCAAAATTAGAGGGGTCTTCAAGAATTGATTGTATAACAATAAAGGAAGGTATGCTTGAATGGCGAAATATGGGTGTACATTGAATGTATAAATTGTAGGAAACCACTCACGTTGGAATGCATGTAATTAACGTATTTCTTAGAACAATTCAACACAGCCCCCATAAAAGTCTTTCCCCAATTTCTCCTGTAAGAAAATATCCCGCTTCGGAATAAAGATTTGCAACCTTTATGTCATAAATGTCTTGGTAAGAGTATGTGCCTATGTGCATATGCATTTGGTAAAAAAAGGTGTAACAGTAGAGTTATATGTCATCATTGGCAATTCATTCACTAAATTTATGTCGTACTTCTTTCTTAAAAAATGTCGAATTAAGACATTATGAAGCATCATGAATATTTTACATAGATAAATTTGTTTTAAATTTCTGTGGAGGTTGAATTAAAAATTCTACTATGAAATCATTTTTTTATTTTCTATATTGTACTATGCAACGACCTGGACAGGCGTCTTTGGAACATTCATCAGTTTCTCTTATCGCTCCTGTACAATCAGGTCCACCATTAGCTGGAACTGGATTTGTACATGTTCTCGAACGTTGACGAGTTCCTTTTCCACATGTAACATCACATGAAGTCCAGCTTGACCAGTGTGCCCATTGCCCATTGACTGAAAACGTTCTATGTCAATATTAACAATGTAATAAGTTCATTTTGTACATAAATTATAAGATATATTCATGGATAGTTCACAATTATTATGAAGTTTTAAGCTTATAGTCCGATTAAATGCAAAGTAAAGTAGTTAGTTGCTTATACAAGATCTGATAGCATTTAAAGATACATGACATGATTGAATTAAGATGTAACAAATAATAATGTAAAACAAAACAACTTAATGTGGATATGTATTGCCTCAAAAATTGTAGGAAAACATATATGCTGAAACTGCATTAGCTTCAACCGTTTTATTGTAAACAAGAGCAAAATATAAAATATAATTTAATTAAGCATTGCAAATTTTCTGCAAGATTGTACTTAGCTTGACATGCTGATTTGAAACGTTCGAATAATGAATATATGTCTTGGCCAAAACTATAAACAATATTTTAAATCGATGATATTTTAGAAATTGACAATAAATTTGTCACAATTGCTTGTGTATCTTTAAAATATCATGAATACATGGCAGGTTGTCTTTCACTTTTTTAAGATTTTGAAACACAAGGAGTATGTGTAAGCAAGTGTGAATTAAGAGTACATAAGTAGAATTACTTTTAATAGTTCCTCAAAAAAAAATTCTCTGTCCTGTCGATATGCTCTTTTTTTATAAAATAGTTTAAAGTAAAAACCTGGACAGTTGTCTTTTGAGCATTCACTGCTCTGTAAGGTTTCTCCAATACAGTCACTTCCCTTATTCATAGGCACTGGATTTGTACATGTTCTTAACCGTAGATATTTTCCATTACCACATGTTACGTCACACGATGTCCAACTTGACCATTGAGCCCAATGTCCATTGACTTGATTTTTACATAATAATTAAAAAGTTATGAGAATAAAGTATATATACAGCTCGAACAAAATTGACATTGATTGCATTTTAATATCATTATCAATTAATCAATTTAATTTCATTATCCAAACAGTTTACAAAAACATTTGTTGAGAATTAGAGATCATAAAGAATCTGAGGTCATATATTTATCATTGAAATGTAAATCGTATGTTTCCTATCAAAATAAAAGTGGCTCATCATAATACAATAAAATGGCATTAATGAGCATTTATGTATCATATATTAATCACGGCAAATGGAGTCAAGGACCGGGTGCTCTCTATTATTTTGCATTTATACCGACAAGAATTAAACTATGAAATAAAAGATGGTTATATAAATACATGTAATATTTTTCAATGATTCTTAATCAAACTAGATTCAATATTGGGACAGACCTAGATCAAACTCCAAAACCATGAAATACAAAATCCCTAAATTATGGTGAAATGATAAATGTACACAAGCTTTTAAATTAAGAGAACAAACAGATGAAACTTAAAAGCTGAAAAAACACCTATACAATATGAACTATGAGAAAAGTGCAAGATCTACGACAGAAAAAAATCAAACTATTAAACAAGCTAAACGTCAATCGTGGAAACAATTCTGCTGTAAAATCATTACATATAACAAAGAATTCACTCTTTTTGAAATGAAAAAGGCCCTTCAAAACGGTAAATCTGGAACTCCCAGGGAAGACAAGATATAGTTTGATATCATAAAGAATTTCCCTGATGAAACTAAATTAATTTTATTAAATCTATTTAACAAATCTTGGAAAGTTATACATTTTAAGTTAAAATTTTACACCCATTTCTGACTTTTATAACGACCGAGATGCAGAACCATGAAATTCTTTCTCCCGTCATTAGAAAGATAGAAATGCTTGCAATCTTATAAATAATCGAGTGCAATTTGATTCATCATAAAATTGTTTGCTTTAGTCACATCATTTGTGCTTAAAAAGTATCTTCGTTATACAATAACGTCATATCATTTACTAAACGAACGCCATTGTTTATATAACAAGGCATTATCAATTAACATTAACAATTTTAACGCCTTTTTTGCATGATTATTAAGACATGTATGAAAGTAAATGAAATTCTTGCGATATTTTACATTTAATCCTTTCTTACTACAAAAAGTTATGTTGAAGACATCTACTTGGTTATAATTTCGTCATTCTTACCACTAAGCCACCTGGCAGTATTTATTAGTTAAATAATCACGACCTATAGTATCATTAAAATCTTAAGCGTATCATAGTCAATTACGGAAACTCACAAAAAGTCCCTAAAATAAATGATTCTAACGTGGCGTCGTTTTTGCATGCAGATAGAAAGATGTTTATGTTAATTAAAAGTAGAATGGAATATGTTTTGCACTAAGAATCCAAACACATCCATTTATGAATTTTTATATCAATGAACTTTATCATACAATTACCTTGACAGCTCTCTTTTGAGCATTCAGCACTTTGTAAATTATCTCCAGTACAATCGAGTCCATTATACGCTGGAACTGGATTTGTGCATGTCCTCGAACGCAGATGAGTTCCTTGTCCACAAGTGACATCACAAGACGTCCATGTTGACCAGGGTGTCCATTGACCATTGACTAAGTGTTATTTGGAGTGTGTTTAATTTTGTGAATTTAAAACTCGAAATAGTTCATGAAAACAACCTTATTATTTTAAACTTTCTTAGGGAGATTCAAACTCCATTGTTCTTTAAAAAAGTTCACCCAAAAAAAAGTAGCAAATATCATTTAAAGGAAAACAAAAATATAATGTAGAAAAAATCAGTGAGTTTCATAAATACATGATATATTTTAAAATAAGAAGTACAACTTGTAATGTTGAAAGAAAACATTGAAAGAAAAAAAAACAACAAAAAGAAACCGCAAAGGAACTTGAACTACATACTTTGTATGTGTAATAGTTAATTCTTACACGACCCGCATTTTTCCTTATTGAATATAGAAGAACCGAAAGTGTTGACGTTCTATAATTAGACATATGAAGTAATCATTATACATGTTACGTAACCAACAAAATGCGACGCGCTGAAAATAAGTGCGGAAACAAATCAGGCCCAATTTAGCTTAATATCAGGTACGGCATTATTTATTTGTTAATGTCGTGTTAGGATGGAAATTATATATCCAAATTGGTGATTTTATCGCTTGATAACATCACTGTTTGTCGTTCGGATGCGCACTTTTATATCACTTGGACTACGGGTAACGCCCTCGTGATATAATTCCTCGCATCCGAACACTAAACATAAACTAAAATCACTGTTTGGGATATATTATATCCAAAATATAGTACAGTTGTAGAAGTACTTTTAACGACCCGAGCAAGGTGATGTTATTGAGCGATAAAATCACTGTTTGGGATATATTATATCCAAAATACAGTACAGTTGTAAAAGTATTTTTAACGACCCGAGCAAAGTGAATTTAAAATAATATGATTATATATCTTTGTCTCGAAATTAATTAAATTTCTATATAAAATAATTTAAATTGAACACCTGGGCAGTTGTCTTTTGAGCATTCACTGCTCTGTAAATTTTCTCCAATACAGTCACTTCCCTTTTTCGCAGGCACTGGATTCGTACACATTCTTGTTCGCAGATGTGTTCCGTTACCACACGTTACGTCACACGAGGTCCAGCTCGACCATTGTGCCCAACGACCGTTGGCTGCTGTATTTTTATAATAATAAAAAGATAAAAAACTTAAGTTAGAATGACTTATTTTTGTACTAAATCATCATATATTTTTTAAGCGTTTTATACTAGTGACATTGCTAACAAATATAAAACTCAATAAAAAGTACCTGGTGTCTTCGGAACGAACAGTACAATGACCAACGTGACGAGAGTGATGTAAACAACACTTATCAACACTATCAATACATAAATCACATATTTCAGTCGCTTTACAGTAATGACATTTCCTGTTTCAATATTTCTTTTATCAGATTCACCATATTTCAATGTCTCGTAAGGTTCCTCTTCAATTTTCTTTGACTGTGATTCGGTAGCCGACTTTTCGGTCGTAATTTTTAAGTTCTCATATGCAATCTCATCATTTGATCTGGTTGTGATCATTTCAATATCATCCAATTCCATTTTGAAATATTATAAATTTAACTTAAAATATATTATGCATCTAATAATAATTTGTTGTTGAAACGATTTTACTTATTTTTTATCTTTATATCTTTATAGAAGTTATTGCGGTAAAAGACTTAACAAAGTCCCCAGAGTATTATAAACTTGAGGTTGACTATAAGTTTTAAAAAGCTTTTTTTTTTAAAACTTCCTTGTGTCAGACAGTTACTCCTTCATAACGATTTGCCATATACGGAAACATGTAAGGGCTATTTCATTTGAATTGCATTATAAGTATATAAAACTAAGCGCCTATAAATCAGACAGCCGAGAGTACGACGAAAGAAGAAACAGCACGTCCAGCTTTACAATCTTAACGAATAAGATAAGTACTACAAAATTATATAATAATTTGCACAGTAAAAATTTTACACTACCATTTAAAATTGTAACTTCTTGGGACTTTCCGTTAAACTTCGAATAGGAACATCAGAAACATTAGTATTTATAACACATTTAAACATACAAACAAAACAAAAGAGTAGTTATCGCCTTTTATCGCTCACAAGAGATATATTGCATGAAAATGTTAAAGCCAGTAATAAGGTCATATTTGGTTTGTCATTATTTTCCCAAGGCTGCATAATTGTAAACTAAGACCATCGGTTGCGGTAAGTTTTTGCCCTAGGGCATAATACAGAACTTAAATAAAAAAAAACATAAGGTGGTGCTACATGCCAAATATATAAGCTATTGGTATTGTAGTTTCAGCTGAGAATCCTTTTAAAATTTTTACTAAACAAATTAAACGATCCCAGGGATGCATCAAATTCTCATCCTAGGGATATTATTTATATCATTTTTAAAGAGGTGTACTTGGCGATATTACAAGACAAATATCTTAGATCTAGGCATTACAGTTTCATAAAAAAGACGTTATTTATTTTCCTATAATAGCCTATGCAAACTAAATGACTTACTATTTGCATCAATTTTATAGAAGAATACTTAAGGATAATTCCTGTAAATTTTGGTGGAAATCCATCAGGTTGTTTAGAGAAGATGTTGTTTAAAGCAATTTTGGACAAAGACGGACGACAAATGGTGGAAACACAGGCACAAAAAATACACGAAGCATTTATTTTCTTTTTTTTCGCTCATGCTGTCTAGCTTTTTGTGTGTATTTATTGGAAAGTAAAGTGCAGATTTATTTCAATAAATACACATATGAACCTAAGTATATTTATGGCTCTTTATGTTTTGGATTTTCTTATCCAAAAATATTACTGTGCGCAATTACGTTTCTTTCCGTCGAATTGTTAAATTGAATTTTTTATTGTTTTGTACTACATGGCCTTCGCTATTATCACAAAATATCAAACATATGAGTAACATGATGCATTATATCAATGAATATGAACATTTAATTTCATGAGGTGAAGCATTCAAGATAGTGTTCCCCTGGTAAAAAGAACAGTAAATACACATGGCAATATTTTAATTATAATTTCAATTTAGCTTGGCATCAAAGTATTACACTTTTTTTAGAGATGGGGCACTGACAATAATACATAAGTAGATATTTTTATGAATATAAAAGTACAAGCTCACTGCGAAAAAGACATGGATATACGGAAGTGTACGGAATTCCGTATATCATTAATATACGTGTAAGAATACGGGAAACTTGAAATACGGAGATGTACGGGACCGTATATTATATCAGTCCGTATATGACTAGTATACGAACTCCGTACACTCGTAATATACGGGAACTTTGATGTACGGAGTCCGTATTTTACTAATATACGGAATTTTTATAACAAGTCCGTATATTACTAAAATACGAAATTCCGTATTCGTGCAAATACGGATTCTGTATATAAAAATAGCGAATGAAAATTTACTTCTGAATAGCCTATTTCTTGTAAGAGTAAAGAAATAGTCTGATCATATATTTGTCAGACATTTGACAATTAACACAATGCAAAATTTCCTGGAGTTATTAACGCGTCAATTGCGTACAAATAATATCGTCAGTGCACAGAACGTGTAAGACATCCACCTGTAACATGCAGACGCGTTATTCTAGCTCAATAGCGCTTGGTTTGCTTTTTAGCATACACCCGCAGATAAATAGCGAATATTTTGCGATTGACGATTAGATAGTACTTTTTTGCATTTTGCATCTACGGTGAATCATGTTATTTTGTAATTTCCTTTTCATTAAACATGAGAAAATGATAAAGTTGAAATTGTGATGTTGAAAACATGAATTAATTATAATAAAATCGTGAATCGGTGAAGTTGAAATCGTGAAAGTTACAATAATTGTGAAATCACGAAGATGAAATCGGGATTGTCCACACAGCATTTAAATTTTACGTTTATATATGTCCTATTAAAAATAGGCTAAACATAATATAATACATATGTACTTGCATATGTAAAAAGAACAACAATGATATCTCATTCATTCATTCATTCATTCATTCATTCATTCATTCATTCATTCATTCATTCATTCATTCATTCATTCATTCATTCATTCATTCATTCATTGAATCAATCAACCAATCATTCATTCATTTATTTATTAATTCATACGTTCATTCATTCATTACTCCTTTACTCATATATTTCTTATTTATTTATTTTTTTTTTTTATTTATTTATTTATTTATTTATTTATTTATTTATTTATTTATTTATTTATTCAGGAAACAAAGATTTGCGTTTCTGTACACAAGTTTTGAATATAAATCTTATGAAGTTCCGAATTCCCTAATTTTGATTCTTTTCGCGCGGTCTCATTTATGACATAATATTGTGTATTAGCCACGTACTGTATTGCCATAATCGAAGACAATACTGATTAAGCCGGATATTGATCCGGATATTGATCATAAACGCAGCAGGGTATATCGAGTGTCGGTTTTCTCCGATTACGTAAGTTAGCGCAATTGGTGTTGAATGTCTTAACGGTATTTTTTACTGTCAATTTCTAATATAATTCATGTACGAAATAAGAGAATTAAATTGTGATCTCATAACCGAGTCTCTATGTGATTTTGTTCCAGATATTATAAAGACTCTAACCCGACATATTAAATGAAACAGACATAGCTGCTATATTCTTTCCAATGTTTTTCGTGTTGTTGTTATCCTTTTATTTGGCGGAATTCGTCATTTAAACAAGACACAATTAAGATTTATCTTAAAGTAAACTTTGAAGTACCCTGCCGCCAGGTCCATTGATATCTAAGTTAACAAGCTAGAATCAGATGGATGTCACTGGGGTGTATGTACATGTATTGTTGATAGATGATGTCAAATTATTCGAAATAGCATTTCTTTAAAAATGCCATCATCATCTCCCGAGTTTCCTCGTCTCCCATCAGCCGTGTTTCTGCATAATTCGGTGACTTGAACATTGTTCAAACAATTGTTATTGAGAATCTCGTCAGTTTAAATCTTGAACTTGATGTATTTTAACAAATAAATGCAATTGTTTTAAAAGATAATTTAATTAAGATTTAAATTTAAAGGTACAAAAGTTCTAATTTGATTTATTGTGTAATTTGTCCTTATAATTCATTGATGATATGAATGTTTTTATGTTTACTTTTTTATATATTGTGCAGTACAAATTAATGTAAATGAATATTTTCAGAGAATCGCTTTTCAAAGCTTATCAAGGAAATAAAAGTGAAAGGCGCATACTTGTTTAGAATTATTTGAAGTATAACCTAAGTTCCCGAACACTGGGCATGTAAAAAAGATAGTAGTAATCAGTCTGGTCTATAAACCTTAGGGGGGCTTTTGTTTGATGGACTGGGCGGCGGTCTTTTGTCCTTCCTGTTTTTTTTTATGGGGGGAGGGGGGCTTTTGTCCTATGTGTAAATTTAATGGGGGGGGAGGCTTTTGTTTTACCCGCTTCTTGTTGTTGTAACAAAAATTTGTGTAATTTATAAATATTTCTTAGTGCTTCTAAAACGTCTTTTATTATTGTCATAAATATTATTATTATTATTATTATCAATATTATCATCATCATCATCATCATCATCATCATCATTATTATTATCATTATTATTATTATCAATATTATCATCATCATCATAAGTATTATTATTGTTATTATTATTTATTATCATCATCATCATCATCATCATCATCATCATCATCATCATAAGTATTATTATTGTTATTATTATTTATTATTAATATTATTATTATTATTATCAAAAAAAATAAATAACCGATTGAGCATTAGAATCAAAGTTTTACCTATGAAAAAGTATCAATGGTTATGCTATACATGTATGCAAAGTTATCGTTTATGGATACATGATATTTCCAATTTAATATTGCATTATTTTGGATCGAATAAAGGTCTTATTATGCTGGTTTCTTCCGCATTATCACTGATCTAAATATAAATTCGTTGCATTATTAATGCTAAATGCTTTATTACACAAACGGTATCTAGGCATATCACGCGTTTTCAAAACAGCCAATGAGTTTAAAGCGTTGGTTTTGTATCACGTGAATCCTATCAACCAATCAGAAATAGCGCGGGCGAAATGAAAAAAGAAAAAACGGGATTGGAAATGGAGGTTAATAAAATTCAGAATATTGCAAAACAAGGTAGGTTAAAAGTTATTTTTTATCGTTGCAATATCAATATGCGATCAATAGAATAGTTGCATTTTGTGAACAACAGCTTATTTCAGGGTTAAACTGATTTGTTTTTAGAAAACTTTAACACTGTTTAATCTGTTTCGCTAGCCAATATGGCCGCCGGGTTAGATAATTAAAGCAGGGATATATCCCTAAATTTAGACTGGGAGGATACGAGTTTGATTTTGATTTCTAAACTGTATCTTGTTTAATTAATAATTTGTATGAAAAGTGCAAAAACAAAAAAATGAAAAGGGCATTTGATAAATGCGTGAATCATAACTTCCCTTCAGGGTAAAAAAGACACCGAGTTAAAATTACGACATTTAAACATCGAAGATGTCAAGGTATTACAGCCCCTGGACATGGTAGTACAAAGGGATTAATCAGTGTGTGTGACACGACCTATGTATGCTTGATTGGTCAACTAATTGGACTTTATAATCTTGAGCGATCTCTA